CATCCAGTGGGGACAAAATTATGGATTATAATGACTTATACGGTCTTTTTACGCATTGTGTTGCATCGTGCCCCATAAACATAAAACCATGTCTGCATTTGTGATCAGAGAAATGACAAACAACAAGCCCTACTCTACATTTCCCAAAAAACTCGCTTTAAATATAAAAGACGTACTTGCAGTCTTTGAGTCAGAACAGCCGGCACTGTAGTCTACTCTACCAGGATCAGGAAACAGTCCTCCATAAAATGTGCTGCACACATCTGAATATTTGGGTTGAAGTGTTCTGGAACAGTGTTGTAAATACAACTTAACCACTGATTTCTAGTCGTGCCCATTTCTGGAAGGCCAAACAAAATAGTTTCGCTTTCACAACAAAACAGCGTCACACACCGCGGCCTACAGTGAGCAGAGGCTGGGGGCTAGCGTGAGGAACGGCCGGAGGGTTAGAGTGAGCAAAGGCGGGCTTGAGAATGGCACGGCCAGCGATTTCGACGAAGGAACGTCCAGAAAGACATGTGACGACCACGGGCTGGACTCTGCTTCGTCCACGGTGAAAGCCGATCCAGAGCGCAAAGTTGTAGGATTTCCTCAGCAACCAGCACGGATCAGCTCTAGGCATGACGAAGCGGATATGGTCCTCTTCTGGAAGGCCAAACAAAATAGTTTCGCTTTCACAACAAAACAGCGTCACACACCGCGGCCTACAGTGAGCAGAGGCTGGGGGCTAGCGTGAGGAACGGCCGGAGGGTTAGAGTGAGCAAAGGCGGGCTTGAGAATGGCACGGCCAGCGATTTCGACGAAGGAACGTCCAGAAAGACATGTGACGACCACGGGCTGGACTCTGCTTCGTCCACGGTGAAAGCCGATCCAGAGCGCAAAGTTGTAGGATTTCCTCAGCAACCAGCACGGATCAGCTCTAGGCATGACGAAGCAGATATATTGTCCTCTTTTGGAAGACCAAACAAAGTAGTTTCGCTTTCACAACGTCTTTACGACATGGCGGCAGAAACAACAAAACTACAGCGAGAATAAAAAAAGTTACGCCTTCTTTCTTTGCGTGAACATTTGGGTGCGTTATGCCTAAAATAAAATCTATAGATATAAAACAGTTCAAGCATAAAACAATGTTTAAACGTTAAACCTAGATAAATGTGCGCTGTATCCAATGGTTTCTGCGGAGAGTGGAAGCTAAAGCGCGCTTTGCAGGACATGGAGGCCCCAGCGCGATCACTTGCATATTTTTTTTTTTCTGTGGATAAGCTGTAATCTTTGCTCATAAAAAGGTAAGAGTAACATCATTCGTAGCTGAAAAAGGGTCTACTTTTGTGTGCACTCACAACAACAAAACTTTGCACTTTTAAAATATTAAAAAAAATAATAATAATAAATAAATATAAAAAAAAAAACATACACCACAAACATGCGCTTTCTGCCGTCTCATCTTGAACAGGAGCGCTTATAAAAATTAGCCAAAACTCCGCGAATACATGTCTCACAGACATGATAAATCTATAGATAGCTTTAAATTACTACTTAACGAAATAAAACAAACTCTTTCATTATAATTAGGGCTGCACAATAAATCGCATGCGATTTAATGCGCATCTTGTCAGTAAAGCCAGTTCTGTAATCAGCGGTAAATCTCCATTACATGCGTGCTTTCACATTGAGCAGCATTTACGATACAGAGCCGTTGTTCACTGACAAGCTGTGCAAAACCACAATCATATTTTGCGCAGCTTGTCAGTGAACAACGGCTCGGTGTCGTAAATGTTGCTCAATGTGAAAGCACGCATGTGATGGAGATTTACTGCTGATTACAGAACTGGCTTCACTGACAAGATGCACATTAAACTGTATCCAATGGTTTCTGCGGAGAGTGGAAGCTAAAGCGCGCTTTGCAGGACATGGTGGCCCCAGCGCGATCACTTGCATATTTTTTTTTTTCTGTGGATAAGCTGTAATCTTTGCTCATAAAAAGGTAAGAGTAACATCATTCGTAGCTGAAAAAGGGTCTACTTTTGTGTGCACTCACAACAACAAAACTTTGCACTTTTAAAATATAAAAAAAATATATAATAATAAATAAATATAAAAAAAAAAAAACATACACCACAAACATGCGCTTTCTGCCATCTCATCTTGAACAGGAGCGCTTATAAAAATTAGCCAAAACTCCGCGAATACATGTCTCACAGACATGATAAATCTATAGATAGCTTTAAATTACTACTTAACGAAATAAAACAAACTCTTTCATTATAATTAGGGCTGCACAATAAATCGCATGCGATTTAATGCGCATCTTGTCAGTAAAGCCAGTTCTGTAATCAGCGGTAAATCTCCATTACATGCGTGCTTTCACATTGAGCAGCATTTACGATACAGAGCCGTTGTTCACTGACAAGCTGTGCAAAACCACAATCATATTTTGCGCAGCTTGTCAGTGAACAACGGCTCGGTGTCGTAAATGTTGCTCAATGTGAAAGCACGCATGTGATGGAGATTTACTGCTGATTACAGAACTGGCTTCACTGACAAGATGCACATTAAATATCGCATGCGATTTATAGTGCAGCCCTAATTATAATCCATAAAGATGCACTTCTCTCTAAAGGCGCGTCTAATGAGGAGACGGCAAGTCAGGATGGGCAACTTCATCCTTGCGACACCGACTCAGAAAACACTAGTTTTAGTAAATAACTCCAATATCTCCTTACTATTTCCTCGTCAAATTTATGGTAACTACTTTTGCCGGTGCTTTGCGGCAAGCTTAAGCCTATTGCTTGCATTTGAACGCAGAACTGTTCAGCTGCGCTGACTGCACGCACCATCCTGCTGCTGCTGGACACTAAACATCGTCGAGCCGCTCTTGACAGTCGCAGTAGCACGATCTCGTGTCGTTTCCACCAGCGAGGCAATTTTTCTTCATCACTAGCCTAACTGATGGATGTCTAAAATATGAAAAGGAGAAGCCTAAAATAGGCCCGAGGCCCGGCCCGCGTCTGAATTATGACGTGAAAATTGGCCCTATACCCGGCCGGAGGGGCGTAAAAAAGTCGGGGCCCGTCAGGCCGCGCAGAAATGCACGGCTCTATTCTATACATTGGTTATTGAGATGTGGGCGTTGCACTCAAATAAATGCAAACTTCTGGTTGATAATTAGAAAGGGACAGGGTTTAAGCAAACTAAATGATTGGAGTAGTCCGTCATTTAACCGGAAGATTGAATTATGACATTTTAATGAACATTGCGGCCCAAAGCATATGCTCAGTTTGCACAGCATATGCATAGCACAGTTCACAATAACCCCTACACTCCTAAACAAAACAGAAAATTATTTGCCAGCACATTATCCAACTAATTTTACTGACATGCCATTAACCCTAAAAACACCGCAATTATATCTATATATATATAAAAAACTAATATTAGTCAAGTACATTGTTCCCCATTTCTACAGTGTGCAAATATGCATTTAGAAAACAGATGACGTGAAATGCATTTCATGCAGACTCCAAGGCGACTTGATAACTATAAACATGTGGTTAATTAATTTCGGTAATTTACGGAAAATTGATGTACAGTAAAAATCTGGCGCGAGAACAGTGTAAATGGAGAAGCGAAAACGCTAAAAGAAAAATGCAGTTTTCATAACCAACGCATTCGGAAAATTACCATTTATTCCGACTCAAAGGGTCACTTTAAGGGGCAGCTAACTTTAAGAGGAAGTGATAACCATTATCATAAAGGCTCATTAAATCGCGGAAAACTATTTGCGGACATTAAAAAAAACAAAAAAAACTAAAAATGTCAGGTATAACAATGCATGAACGGAATAGCGTGAAGGCTAAAATATGAAAATTACTTTCAGAGATACTATAGTTAGCACAATCAAAGCAGCTTACTGTAATGAATATGCTGTCCTATGTTTGATTACAGTAATGAGCGAATAACGCGCGTTGAATTAATTGATCTGTCAGATGCGCATTATTCAGCGCGCTGCCGCACACCAGCATCCCTCACTGCGCACTTTAGCCGCTCAATGTGCCAAATCGCTCTTTTTTGCGATTATCTGCCTAAATAAAAACCACATGGACGGAATTGTTTACTGTACATGCGTGCAATTACTGGATTATAATGCATGCGCGCTGTAGTTGGTCGCGTGTGTTGATAAACTGTTAGCCTAGCATAGCTGGCCAGCTAACAAGAGCCACAAACAAAAACACCGCAAACTACAGTAAACGCTCACAAATTAACTCGTTTTTTACGCCATACGTACCTTTTCAGAGAAGATGAGTACTGTACTCTAGACCAAGCACCGTTTAATTGTGAATTCAAGTCAAACTCGAAGCAAAAAATCTCTCGAAGTTTCCCTCCTGTAAAAAAGAAAACACAGACATTTACCCAAGATAAGTAGGACCCGTGAGCACACACGCCAAATGCCTGTGTGAAACTTTCTGCAATGTCCATATGTCCTGAGTCAAACTGAATGGATTGTTTTCTTTAATTTCAAGTTGATGAGTTGCAAGCTGTTATCTATTAACACAAGCTGATGAAAATCACCTGGACCTCCAATTTAAAGCAATCAACGAACACTTAATTGATGCTAGATTAATAAAACAATTGACTGATTAAAGCGTAATAATTAATATTATGTGATTAGTGCACTAACAATACATTTCAACTTCTGTATTGCTTGTTTTGACAAACCGAGTTAGAGAAACCCACTGATTTAAGATCTAAAAATTTTAGTCAGGCATTTCTTAGACACCTATAGGATCTCTTAGCTCTTCAGTGCACATGTATTCGTGTTGTAAATATGATTGAGGTTTTATAAATAGATTGAGTTGAATAAATATTAGAGTCTAATATTCAAAAGACAATCTGATCTTTGAAAATGTTTTGTTTAATTCAGTATTGTAGCCTATATTACAGCACTGACACCATAACAGGAAATATCCTTAATTGGCCTCGCAGAGGGCGGAGCATCTGAAAATAAGCTCTTGTTTTAACCATAACCACATCCTTCATGTCATATTTTCGTCACAAGCGCTCTGACTGTGCATGTAGATCAGTAGATTGGCATATAAATGGCGAGACTTATGCAATGTACAACTGAAATTTGATTGAGAACTGCATTTTAGATTTTCATCCAAACTGAATATTTTTGTGAACCGGTTCAATGGGAATATTATCAAGGTAAGTTTTCAAATGAATCTACTTCTTTTTTAGCCGCTTTCACTCATCTTTTTGAAATTTTGTTTAGTCAAAATATGTTGGTTATAGACTAGCCTATATATGATGATTAAGAGGAAAAATCTTTAATAAATGATTGTGATGTGTTTGAGCTTTTTATTTGTATTAAAATCTTGTTGTTTTTCTTACATTTATTGTTGTTTTTCTTTTTTGTTTTGAAACTTCAAAATGAATTACATTTATCATTTTAATTGCAACAAAATTCATTTATTACACATTAATACATAACAGCAGTACAAAAACATTTTTACTTTCATTGCAGTTTGCATGTGGGCTCTGTACAATGCATCTGAGCAGGGCCGACTGCAGATTATTTCCCTGTTCCTCCATGATGGCTTTATGGAAAGCCATAGCCTTGCTTGTTATTTGTGGACTTATTGAGTGCAGTAAGTGTACATTTATTGCAATATATCCGTTCCTCTACATCAAACATCTTGTAAAACAAGTGTAGATGTAGCGTTTAAAAGCGACACCCTCAAAAGGATGTAGTTGCACCAGTAAAAGTGATTTAGCTGGTGTCCTTTGACCTATTCAGGTGTTGCTTTGAGAAGAAATGCTACCGCTTCTGTATCTCGATTGACCACATTTCCTCTCACATCGCTGTTTGCAGATGATGGCGTGTGCAGCGTGACCTGTACCACAGACTTTATCTCCATGCTGAACTGCTCTAATTCGGACTCGGCAGGAGCAGCTTCGTGTCACGTTGTGGCTGATTGCAGGTACAGATCTAGCACATGATGTTCTTACTTTGAGTCCTGAAGCGGCTCATTTTACTGAGACATTGTCTAGCCTGCTCAATGTTTTTTAACCCGTCATTACCATTGACTAACATGTTGTTTAATTAGTATATTTTCATGTTTTCCAGGGATGAATATTTTCCTGTGAATGGGAGCTGCAGTATCAAATCGCCACAATCCTGGTGCACAATGGAGCCAGAAAATATGGATTTGATTATGTCCTATGATACTAACTGCTCTATCATAGTAACACAAATGGCCAAACAAGGCAATATGGAGACCCCAACAAAGAGTCACTCTGAAAAAATTGTTTTATACAAATCTGGTACGTCCCGATATCTACTTGATCAATGGTGTAAAAAATGAACGTCATATCCACCTTCATTTTTAACGTAAGAGCGTGGCTGGACATTTTTTAAAGCTTCTGGTGTCATTCGCTTCAGGTTGTTTTAGCAGCAGAAAATCAATATTATGCAGATTTTTTATTGCAAGCTGCTGTTTCTTATCAAACACATTGCAGGTAGTTTTACCGTTAGCTGCTCTTTGTTATTCTTATAGTGGCTAATGAACAGGAAGTCTTGATTGTTTACAGAAAATCGCTCACTTCTGCTTTGCGAAATAAGGTGGATACAGTGAGATCCAAATGTCTAAGAGCACTAATGCTTAGAAATGCTGAGATTTTGTAATTTAATGTGACGATTTTCACAATCTCGTAGTATTTTTGCTCAAGCTACCTGAAGTTTGCGTCAAACCTGATGATCATGTTCTCCAGCATGATTTGATCCAAAGAGCATCTTGAGCTTTAATGGATGAAGAACATAACATCTTGGTGTAAAATATTAAAATCTTAAAACATTCTGGTTGAAATTAAAACTTAGTCACAGAGTTTTTTAATGCAAATCCAAGCTTTTTGGGCCCCACTGTAATTCAATAGTCTTGTTTACTTGTGTACAGTGCACTAACATTGGTTTTCTTTTCGTTTCATAGTTAAGCCAAAACAACCTTTCAACTTAAATTGTATAAAAATTGATGGTAATTTCAACCTCACTTGGGATGTGGCTTATATGGATCACACTCTGTATAAAAAATTATACTACAGAGTACGATTACGATCTAAAAGTGACCCGGATAAGGTAAAAGCTCCATTTCAATATATATATATATAGGGAAGGAAAATCACACATATTTTGCACATTTTCCTGAATACCATGTAATGCTTCCACAGATGGCGCAAATTTACACGCTGCAGCAGAACGAACAATCAATGGTTATCATCAGTGAAAAACTCCTGCCAGGAAGGCAGTATGTGGCAGACGTTCAGGTTGCTGTGCATCCTAGATGGTTCACATCCATGTGGAGTGAAAGGAGCAACAGTGTTGAATGGACATCTGATTCTGAACATTCAGAGTACTATTTCCTGCTGTTTGCATTTCCTGTTTTGTTGGTGGTGCTACTCGTGTCCATCGGGAAACTGTGAGTATCAGTCTCACTTGTTTTAATTGTCCAATATTTCACTTTGTTTCAGTTCAGATATGCGGTAGTTTGAAATAAATCACATTCTCAGTACAAACTGTTTACTTGACAGACAAAATTGAAATCAAGAAGTTTGGCTCCTTTATAAAGGCCATGAGGCACATTTAGGGAATTGTACAAATTGTACAGAAGTCACTTTGCGGAATATGGAGAAGTGAAGCAAACTCAAATTTCTCTCATTATGACTGTTAGTTCATTTATGAGTCACATGAGTCACTTTATTATCTGTAAGTCATATGCCTTTGAAGCCTGTATTAACCTTTCAAACTGTCGAGATCAGTTCACTCATTCCTAAAAATCTGAAAGATAATGTACTGAGAAGTTTGGCTGATATCCCACAAAGTGGCGGGCTTAATAAAATACTATAGACAAGTATGATCTTAAATTTCGATAGTGCCTCCTCTAAATGAGTTTTCCAGTAATCGATATGACAGCACTTACCGTATATGAATAGTCCTTTCTCACCGCCCACATTCACGAAAACCACTACAGCAGCAGATAGGTTTTTGCAGACAGTCTATTTTCACGTAGGTTAAAAACTGGAGGAAGTCAGACCTACAAGCTCTGCAAGTGCATAAAGCTTGGCATTTCTCATGACAGCTGCTGTTTTTCATTTCTTTTTCAGCACATAATCAGCATATGTTTATAGCAGCATTTGGATTTGCCTTATTTTTGAAGTGTACATAATTGATCCTGTTACTTTCATGTTTTAATGCTGTGTGAAGCTGCTGTGAAACAGTCTCTTTTGTATAAAGCACTATAAAAAGAAAGCTAACTTGACTTGATATGTCCTACAATAACAGCCTGTTTTAAATGAATCCACCAAACTACACGTCAGTCCTATAACACTTTGTATTTTTGCATCTATAGAGTGGGCATCAAAAAGCTGTCCTTATGGCAACACATCCCAAGCCCCAATGAGTACTTCACACCACTCTACCATACATATCAAGGAGACTTTAAGGTATGTTTTATTTTGTCTTTCAGCTAGCTGCAGTGTTGCCAGATTGGAAAAATCCAAGTATCGTACCAGAAGCTCAAAATTATTGTATTTGGAAGTAAATTATCGTACATGAGTCAAACGTACAGAATACAGCTATTTATCTAGACCAACAACTTTTTGACACAACCTGCAAATTACCACAATAGATAAAAAAAACTAGATAAATAACTCCACCTGTGAGTCTCTGTCATCGGAAGCCTGCGTGTTGCCAGATGTTGAGGGGGTTCTTGCCGTCATGGACCGCAACATAGTGCTCGTTGGTTTAAAAGCAGGGAACCCTCCTGCATTCTTAACACACTCTGAGGTGTGCACGAGCGCATTTATAGTATCTATAATGAGCCGATTTCGTGGATGAGTATAGAAACCCTATGATTACAACTACCATCATTTGAAGAGTCACATAATTCTGAAATTATCGTACATTATGGGATTTATTAATTTATTATTGATCGTACATCGTACAGAGGTCAAAATTATCGTACAAATACGATAGTTATCGTACGTCTAGCAATTTTGTTGCTAAATTTAGCAACTTTTCAGACTACCCTAGCAACTTCTTCTTCCAAAAGCACCTAGTAACAAATTTAGCAATTTTTTAAATTTATTTGGCAACTTTTAGCAACTTTTGATAAGTGACTCAGACAAAAAAAAAGCACACATTTTCCATCCAAACTACACAAAAAGAGGAAACCAAAGATGCCTAGCAGTACAGACATCAAGTGAATTAAGTTAGCTGCTATTTGCGGTTGTTCAATTTAATAATTGAATAATTGTTCATTTATGATACATCTTGTTAGTAGCTTCTAGCTTGTACCTGCAATTGTTGATCAGTTAGTACACTTTAAGAAAAATCGAAAAAATAGTAATTTTCCAGAACATTATCCATTATCCATTATAACCCTGTAACCCGAAAACGCAATGTGTAATTTAAAATGCAGGTAAAAAACCAATATGGAAAATTCTTTCATATTAACATAGTAGATTGTGCCCTATTCTTACAAGCTTTTCTTAAGGGTAGAACACTAACTAACTACTAAAACACTGCTTAAATTAGTCACAGAGTTTTTTAATGCGAATCCAAGCTTTTTGGGCCCCACTGTAATTCAATAGTCTTGTTTACTTGTGTACAGTGCACTAACATTGGTTTTCTTTTCGTTTCATAGTTAAGCCAAAACAACCTTTCAACTTAAATTGTATAAAAATTGATGGTAATTTCAACCTCACTTGGGATGTGGCTTATATGGATCACACTCTGTATAAAAAATTATACTACAGAGTACGATTACGATCTAAAAGTGACCCGGATAAGGTAAAAGCTCCATTTTCAATATATATATAGGGAAGGAAAATCACACATATTTTGCACATTTTCCTGAATACCATGTAATGCTTCCACAGATGGCGCAAATTTACACGCTGCAGCAGAACGAACAATCAATGGTTATCATCAGTGAAAAACTCCTGCCAGGAAGGCAGTATGTGGCAGACGTTCAGGTTGCTGTGCATCCTAGATGGTTCACATCCATGTGGAGTGAAAGGAGCAACAGTGTTGAATGGACATCTGATTCTGAACATTCAGAGTACTATTTCCTGCTGTTTGCATTTCCTGTTTTGTTGGTGGTGCTACTCGTGTCCATCGGGAAACTGTGAGTATCAGTCTCACTTGTTTTAATTGTCCAATATTTCACTTTGTTTCAGTTCAGATATGCGGTAGTTTGAAATAAATCACATTCTCAGTACAAACTGTTTACTTGACAGACAAAATTGAAATCAAGAAGTTTGGCTCCTTTATAAAGGCCATGAGGCACATTTAGGGAATTGTACAAATTGTACAGAAGTCACTTTGCGGAATATGGAGAAGTGAAGCAAACTCAAATTTCTCTCATTATGACTGTTAGTTCATTTATGAGTCACATGAGTCACTTTATTATCTGTAAGTCATATGCCTTTGAAGCCTGTATTAACCTTTCAAACTGTCGAGATCAGTTCACTCATTCCTAAAAATCTGAAAGATAATGTACTGAGAAGTTTGGCTGATATCCCACAAAGTGGCGGGCTTAATAAAATACTATAGACAAGTATGATCTTAAATTTCGATAGTGCCTCCTCTAAATGAGTTTTCCAGTAATCGATATGACAGCACTTACCGTATATGAATAGTCCTTTCTCACCGCCCACATTCACGAAAACCACTACAGCAGCAGATAGGTTTTTGCAGACAGTCTATTTTCACGTAGGTTAAAAACTGGAGGAAGTCAGACCTACAAGCTCTGCAAGTGCATAAAGCTTGGCATTTCTCATGACAGCTGCTGTTTTTCATTTCTTTTTCAGCACATAATCAGCATATGTTTATAGCAGCATTTGGATTTGCCTTATTTTTGAAGTGTACATAATTGATCCTGTTACTTTCATGTTTTAATGCTGTGTGAAGCTGCTGTGAAACAGTCTCTTTTGTATAAAGCACTATAAAAAGAAAGCTAACTTGACTTGATATGTCCTACAATAACAGCCTGTTTTAAATGAATCCACCAAACTACACGTCAGTCCTATAACACTTTGTATTTTTGCATCTATAGAGTGGGCATCAAAAAGCTGTCCTTATGGCAACACATCCCAAGCCCCAATGAGTACTTCACACCACTCTACCATACATATCAAGGAGACTTTAAGGTATGTTTTATTTTGTCTTTCAGCTAGCTGCAGTGTTGCCAGATTGGAAAAATCCAAGTATCGTACCAGAAGCTCAAAATTATTGTATTTGGAAGTAAATTATCGTACATGAGTCAAACGTACAGAATACAGCTATTTATCTAGACCAACAACTTTTTGACACAACCTGCAAATTACCACAATAGATAAAAAAAACTAGATAAATAACTCCACCTGGGAGTCTCTGTCATCGGAAGCCTGCGTGTTGCCAGATGTTGAGGGGGTTCTTGCCGTCATGGACCGCAACATAGTGCTCGTTGGTTTAAAAGCAGGGAACCCTCCTGCATTCTTAACACACTCTGAGGTGTGCACGAGCGCATTTATAGTATCTATAATGAGCCGATTTCGTGGATGAGTATAGAAACCCTATGATTACAACTACCATCATTTGAAGAGTCACATAATTCTGAAATTATCGTACATTATGGGATTTATTAATTTATTATTGATCGTACATCGTACAGAGGTCAAAATTATCGTACAAATACGATAGTTATCGTACGTCTAGCAATTTTGTTGCTAAATTTAGCAACTTTTCAGACTACCCTAGCAACTTCTTCTTCCAAAAGCACCTAGTAACAAATTTAGCAATTTTTTAAATTTATTTGGCAACTTTTAGCAACTTTTGATAAGTGACTCAGACAAAAAAAAAGCACACATTTTCCATCCAAACTACACAAAAAGAGGAAACCAAAGATGCCTAGCAGTACAGACATCAAGTGAATTAAGTTAGCTGCTATTTGCGGTTGTTCAATTTAATAATTGAATAATTGTTCATTTATGATACATCTTGTTAGTAGCTTCTAGCTTGTACCTGCAATTGTTGATCAGTTAGTACACTTTAAGAAAAATCGAAAAAATAGTAATTTTCCAGAACATTATCCATTATCCATTATAACCCTGTAACCCGAAAACGCAATGTGTAATTTAAAATGCAGGTAAAAAACCAATATGGAAAATTCTTTCATATTAACATAGTAGATTGTGCCCTATTCTTACAAGCTTTTCTTAAGGGTAGAACACTAACTAACTACTAAAACACTGCTTAAAGCATAATTGTTGAGAATATGTACAGGTGCATCTCAATAAATTAGAATGTCGTGGAAAAGTTCATTTAGTTCAGTAATTCAACTCAAATTGTGAAACTCGTGTATTAAATAAATTCAATGCACGCAGACTGATGTAGTTTAAATCTTTGGTTCTTTTAATTGGGATGATTTTGGCTTTCTTTCTGAAGTCCACAGTCAACGCAGCCATCTACCAGGAAATTTTAGAGCACTTCATGCTTCCTTCTGCTGACAAGCTTTATGGAGATGCTGATTTCATTTTCCAGCAGGATTTGGCACCTGCCCACACTGCCAAAAGCACCAAAAGCTGGTTCAATAACCATGGTGTTACTGTGCTTGATTGGCCTGCAAACTCGCCTGACCTGAACCCCATAGAGAATCTGTGGGGTATTGTCAAGAGGAAAATGAGAAACAAGAGACCAAAAAATGCAGATGAGCTGAAGGCCGCTATCAAAGCAACCTGGGCTTCCATACCACCTCAGCAGTGCCACAGGCTGATTGTCTCCATGCCACGCCGCACTGATGCAGTAATTCATGCAAAAGGAGGCCCAACCAAGTATTGAGTACATGTACAGTAAATGAACATACTTTCCATAAGGCCAACAATTCACTAAAAATGTTTTTTTTTATTGGTCTTATGAAGTATTCTAATTTGTTGAGATAGTGAATTGGTGGGTTTTTGTTAAATGTGAGCCAAAATCATCCCAATTAAAAGAACCAAAGACTTAAACTACTTCAGTCGGTGTGCATTGAATTTATTTAATACACGAGTTTCACAATTTGAGCTGAATTACTGAAATAAATGAACTTTTCCACGACATTCTAATTTATTGAGATGCACCTGTAGTATTACTAGTTTGATAGCTATTAAGAAAAATCTTAAATTATCATTCAAAAATGTGTAAGTGTTCAATAATTCAATGTATTTAAAAAAATACAGTTATTTATATTTTAATATTTTACAAACAAGTCTAAATTAACATATACTTTCTTTTCTTTCTTTCTTTTGCTGAGATTTAATGTTGTGACACAAGTTTGCATCGCGATTACGCAATGACATCATAACGTAATTTAACTACTTTTAGCAACAAATCGACCTTCCTTTAGCAACTTTCTCTGAAAATTAGTTGGCAACACTGCACTGGCTAGCTGTGTGTATACATCTCTGGTGCATATGCAGAAGTCTCTGTGTGCGTGTGTGAGCACGATAACATGTCTTAGGGGACTTTCATAAGTGCGACATGCTTAACCTCACTTGCAAGCGGGGAATGTAACATTTTTCAAATGAGTCAGTCTGTAGGGGCTTCAAAGGAACAGGAGGGCTCGCTTAACATTTGGTTGTGAAAGCGTTAAGTAAAAACTGAAAGTAGCAGTTTCCCCCCTCCAATGGAAAGTACTATGAGTTCAAACCCAAACTCTGATAAGGTGGGTAGTTATAAATAGTTGTTTTTAACTAAAGGGGAATTTAGTAAATATTCCGCTGGTAACGCAAGCTGAAAATACTACCCTTTATTCTCAGGCTTGGCAAGGCAAAAATAAAAAGGAGTTTGCAAGCTACTAGTTATTTTTGTCTATCAGAGAACTTAGTAGGCTAACTCTGACAAGATCTTAATAGTAACGGCATTTCTGAGCTTGAGGATTTCTGTAAAACCTAAGCGTTATGAAATGTGGCAGCGTCGTGAACTTGTAAGACTTGTGAAACCAGCTTCGTTTCATTTAACAGTTACTGAGGAAATGTGGCAGTTGTATTAAACCTGTAAATAAACACATATTCCAGTAGGGGTCAGTAACACGCTGCTTTAACAACAGCGACAGCTGCGCGACATCACATGGGACGTTAAAACCATTAAACGTAAAGCGTCATCTTAAACAACTTTTTAATTAATTCCAAAAGGACATACTTAGAGTATAATTTTACATACAGTGTCAAAACAGTAGAGGTGTAAGTGGGATAAGTGTTTTGATCTGGTGTAAATGGTTCCGTGACACCCTCTGTATTTTTCCAACCCCTCTTATTCTAAAATAGATTTCTCAGAATATGCTACAAAATTATTGATTGAAATAGTTGAACATTGAGTTTTACCCTATGTAATTTTTTTCCCCGTGTTATTGTGCTATTTATTGTTCATAAAATTAGTTTTCATTCTGTGTGCACCAAACACCTGACAAATGTTGTTTTGTGGTTCATTGTGACTTCAAGTGTCGAAAAATATTGACTAACCATTCATACAGATGAAAAAGCATTTAATGAATGATTTTTTTTCTCATTTAATTAACACATTTAAAAAAAAAAAATTTAAGTCAGGAAATGGTTACGATGATTCCGGATGTTGTTTCTGCAAGTAGGCTTTGTTTGAGAAGAAGTGGTTTGATATGAATCAGTGTTTTAACAAGTTAATTTACTGGTTTTGAATTTCATATAGCTAAAGATATATAGTTTAAATATATAGGCTAAAGGTTTTTTCCCCTTTCTTTTTAAAAATAAATTAATCCTTTTCAGCAAGGATGCATTCAATTGATCAAAAGTGATATACATGACATTTATAATTTTATAGAAGATGTCTGTGTCAAGTAAATGTTGTTTTGAACTTTTTATTCATCAAAGACTCCTGAGTCGATCACGGTTTACCACAAAAATATTAAGCAGCACAACTCTTTTCAATATCAATGATAATAACAGTTTCTCAAGCAGCAAATCATCATATTAGAATGATTTGTGAAGGATCATGTGACACTGAAGAGTGGAGTAATGATGCTGAAAATTCAGCTTTGAAATCGCAGGAATAAATTACAATTTATAATATAGATATATATAAAAAACAGTTCTTGTAAATTGTAGTAATATTTCACTATTACAGTTTTTTTTTTACTGTATTTTTGATTAAATAAATGCAGCCTTGGTGAGCATGAGCGACTTCTTTCAAAAGCATTAAAACGTCTTGCTGATCCCAAACTTTTGAATGATAGTGGATATATTTCACATCACCAATACACTTGAATATACCTCTTCTAGAGGAAAATGTTTTTAAGAATTAAAATTTGTTTATGTTTGAGGGGGCATAAAGAAATGAATTTTCATGACAAAATGAAAAAAAGATCTACTTGTGGTTTATTTCCAGAAATGGGTCGGACCAGTCCTGACCTTCAACAGCTTTGATGTCCTTGAGAAGAGCACCACTTTGCAGGTGCTTTGTGAGAAGCAGCAGAATGAAAGCTCAGAGGAACCCGCTAACAGCAGGACTGGCGAGCGGGACTTTGATCCGGCGGGTCAAAACTCATCTAAACTCTACTTCCTTGGAAGCAACAGTCACGGCATCGCACACTCCGGCGGCCACATATCGATGGACACCGTTACAGTTTCCGGTCAGGAGGGCGTCATGGCCGACTGGTCCGGTGACAGCCACAGACAGAGCCTAGAGGACTTCCTCGACGGCAAAGATACCAATCAGAGAGCGGCTGAGATGGATGCCAGGCAGCCTCTTATACCTGACTGCAGGAGGAGTTTACAGGGTTCAGACTGTGATGACTGGCATCTACAGGAGCACGACCTGGAGAACATTGAGCAGGTCTCGCTGAACTCCTACGGTTCTAATGAGCAGTCCGATGATGGTTACCCACAAATGGGATTGGATTTGGACACCATAGACAGTGGATTTCTGGAGTCAGACTGTTCCAGCCCCTCAGCGTTTGATGGGAACGAGCAAATAGACACTTCATCACTGGATGGCGTGGGACGCTCCCATTCAAATTATGTCAAACAGTGGGTGGCTTTTACATCAGTTCAAGTTGATGCCCACAGCACTGGAAAGTAGCTGTTCATGGGAGTTTCTATTGCTACACAAAACAAAATCAATCACAACTGAATAATGAACAATTTAAAGTGGAAGCATCTACAAAATGTATGAAGACATCACTGGTTGGACCTAACTTGCTCACAACACGTTTATGTGAGCTGTTTTTTTTGTTGTTACACTGAACTGTATTTGTGGCATACTTACATAAATAGACTCATTAGACATCAGCTGTGCGATCGTTCACAGGACATTGGTCTACAGTACATTAAGATGCAAATGTCAATTTGCATACTATCATTCCTTTAGGCCTATAGACGTTGGTCAGGGTAGCGCCATATTTAATATATGACAGGATTGAAAATGAGGCTGTGAGAAACTGAAGTACAGTGCTTTCAAAGGATTGTACCTTTGTTTAACAATATACCAATTGTTCAGCCGACGAAACATCTTAACATCTTCTTTTAGTTGACAAAAACTCTATAAAACCTTTTTTAAATTTGTGAGTAGTGCTGTCATACGATTAATCGCATCCAAAACAAAAGTTTTTGTTTACATATTATATGTGTGTGTACTGTGTATATTTATTATGTATATATAAATACACACACACACACACATGCTTGTATATATTTAAAGGGGTCATATGATGCTATTTTAAAGATCATTATTTTGTGTATTTGGTGTAACAGGATATGTTGACATGTTTTAATGTTCAAAAACCACATTATTTTTCAAATACAGTACATTATTGTAGGTCCTCTATGCCCCGCCTCTCTCAAACACGTCGTTTTCAACAAAGCCCCCTCCTTTGACAAGCGCAGTCTGCTCTGATTGGCCAGCTGACCCAGTGCATTGTGATTGGCCGAACACCACAAGCACTCGTCGGAAATGTAACGCCCCTTACCATAATCGTGAGCGTCAGCTTTCAAAGTAAATATCAAGACAGTTAATAATGTCGTTAATTTTACCATCAGTTCAAGCCCGAAAGGGCAACAGAGTCGCGTGACAGACACAGTGATGATGCAGTACACAAGCTGTGGTTAAGACAGCTGACGTGCTATGATTTCTGACAGGCAGTTCACTCTCCTGGGATGTGACTCTGCTTCCCTCACACACAACGCGTTACTCTGCGCTGGCAAAACTCCGCATTTGAACAGTCAATAGCAAATACTTAAACTAGTAACAAAACATACTTACAGTCGCTGATTCAGAAGCGCCAGATTGTCATAGCAAAGTCAGAATTGACCCTTTTTTTTTTTTTTTTAGACGGTCGTCCATAAAATGCATTGCTGTTCGGTTGTAAGTCATCTTAATGCATCTACTTTCGGAAGGCCAAATAAAGTGCTTTTGCTTTCGCACTGAAACACAGCGTCTCCCTGACATGGCTGTTCCTGAAACCAAGCCTTCTTTCTTTGCGTGCACATTTGGGCGGCACTATGCTAATATTTCCACCTATTGACGTAGACATGTGGGGGCGTGTTAGAACGAGCTGTTTTAGGTAGGCGTAGTTGACTCTTAACTTTTATAAAGAATATCTCTTTGGATTTGAGACTTTAGTCTTTGCAACTTTACAGATCATCTTTATGCACCAAGAGCTTGTAACACTCCAAAGAGAAAGGAAAACTTGAAATAGCATCATATGACCCCTTTAAGAAAAATATGTTTTGTTTATATATAAAATATTAATGTAAACAACACTTTTATTTTGGATGCGATTAACTCACTAGTTGTGAGTTGTGAAAAATACCTGACCTAGGATCTTTATGCAGTCCATGACATTGTAAAGACATTGAAAGTCTATCCCTCACACCTTGTTTTCATTCGTCTTAAATTCAATATGGCGTTTAACCTGATTAAGTTCTGTAGTCAGATGTTGTGCTACTAATAATAATTATCTGTCACTCTAATGGACTGGGTTGTATTTTTCTGTCATGCTCTATTTCAGTAAAATATTGTAACACTCGATATTTTTAATGTGACTTTGTCACAAGAACTTCACTATCCCATTAATTATTCTTTTCAAATCATACTTTTCCCGGTCTGTTTTGCATTTTAAAACCTGTTCTCCCTTTTCCTTTACTTCTAATCACTATAACTATGGAAGGCCATTTTCGACTACGAGTAAAAAACACTTTGGTAACTGTGATAAAGTTTAAGATAAGAAATATAATTACATTTTGGGATGTATGGTATTACAACTGTGAGATTAGAGGTCACAAGAAATAAAGTCACAATTACAAGAAATACAATTCTAAAAACCAATACATAAAAAGGTAATTGTGACTATTTATAGCTCAAAGTCGCACCAAATTAAGTCACAGTTGATTTGTAAATAATTTCGAGGCAGGATTCCATAATTAGTGTCCCAAATCAAGTCAACTGCAAAGATCTAAAAATCTTTCTTAATTTAAGAGAATTCACACCACAACTATAACGATAACGATTTACAGGAACAATATCATTAAAATCACTTTCAAAAAGATATTTTCCAGCTGATGAACAATAAAACACTGACAGCCAATCAGAATCCATCCTGCTTTAACATGCTCAAGCATTTAAAATGACAAATGAAAGCGTGCACCTATATTAAACAGAATGTTAATGTGCATTGGTGTGGACGCTAATATAGTTGAAGTTATAGTTATCTTTATAGTTAGCTATCTTGGTGTGAATGATGGAAAGCATTTTTAATTATTCGTCATTATGCATTTCCAAATTTCCAAAATTATGGTCAATTATTGGTTAACACAACCTCTACATTTAGTATGCAAGAGTAGAATTAGTGCATCCCAAATCATCTACTGTTGAAAATAACATGCTAAAAGTTCCTGGGTGTTTTACTGTGCCAGGTGACTTGTATAAAAAAAAATAAAAAAAAGATAAATCTGTTCATGCTTTTTGAGGTTATAAGTTAAAGTTCAAGATTTAGTCCAATACTGTGATCAACTAATACTGTGAATATTTGCAGGATGTGTAAAAATGTTGAACCTAAGATATGAAAGTTATGAATTTAGCGTCATGCTAACACAAACAGTACATGACAGGGGCCTGTGGTGATTTTATGATGTGGTTGTATGTCTCAATACTGGCATACCGTCTAAATACATACTCAGCCGCAGCTCTACTTTCCCAGCAGCAAATGAAGTACGTTTATTTAGCGTGTAGCAAAAGTATGGGATGTGAGGTGCGACCAGTGTTTAGGTACTGATTATCTAATGAGGTAAGACTGAGAAGTATGCATTTCGTGACTTTTTTGCATGAGAAATGCTTGAGCTGTGCAGTTCTTCTGTCTTTGCACACAATGTTGCAGTTATCAGAGTTTGCTCTGAGCAAGATAAGGCATGTGTCAGACAGATCTACAAAATGCCAGCTACCTGATAATACTATGGGGATTTCTACATATCAGATCTTTTGTACAAATCATTAGCTCAGCGGATGGTGGGGTGGGGGGGGGGGGGGGTGCTTTTTAACCTATTAATTTTTTCCATTAATGCTTTGATTTTCATGAAATGATTAATGCACTTAATTTAACTGATTATGTATCACTAAGTAGACACTTTGATGGTTAGAGGTGATTACAGACTTTATTTACAACTAGAAGTGTTTGAAAGCAAACTTACATTACCGTTTTTTTAGCCTTATTACTGTTCAATTTGTTTTGTTTACATCATGTTTTCCTTATATAAGACACATCAGCTTGCATAGCAACATTTGTGGCCTTCTTTTTGTATATGCAGGAGCACTTTAAAAGTTTTCTGCAACATTTGAAACTAAAAGATGAAAAAAACGCCGTGACATACAGTAGGAAGCCACAAATAAAAGTTCATATTTGTACCTTTTAATCTTTCAAATCACTGTGCTAAATGTCAGCTCAGTCATTTATAGAATCATTCATACATGGGGGAAAGTCATATCAAGATGTTTCTGATTGGAAACGTTACAGATGTATTAGTATAATTTAGAATAATAAAAAGAAAACAAAGAATTATGTGTAGGCCAATTCAAAAGGCGTTCAGATCCTCCCTTTGGTATAATACCTGTATGTGAACTCTTCTGTGTCCATGAGGAAACTTTCTCCTTGCTACACTGTTACATTATGTTGTATATACTGTTTAAAATCTCCTAAGATGGTGTGTTCACCTGCAATATTCAATTTGGGAACACTTTATTATAACTTTCATTAATATATCATTAACAAACATTATACAATGCTTAATGGATCATTAGTTAATATATATTCAAAGAGTTAGAAACGTGAGATAATGTGCTTGCTAATGTTTGCTAATAAACCTGTTAAACATTAGATAATGTTTAATGTTATTAAACTTTCAGTTCCATATGATCAAGCACTTATTGAGAATCTACAAGTGATTTTAACAGATGTTATAAAATGATTAAAAGCTTGTGTTAATGCACAACACTTCTGCTGCTATTGAGGTGTGGTACGGGTAAGTTTAGGGACGGGTTTGGTGGTATGGGTAGGTTTAAGGGTTGGTTAAAGGGTCAACAGTGTACAGGGGTCAATTTGATTATAAGGGAACACAGTTCAATCCGTTTATATTATATTGTTTTGATAAATGAACAAGTATTTTCTTTTAAAAAATGATTTGCTTTCTCCTGTTTATTTTTGATTCAAGGAACATCCTGTTTAATGATACTAATGTGAGTGTTGAGGCAATAAAAACATTTTTTGCAGCAAAATTACAATCTGGTATGTCTTTAGCCAGCATTTAGCTAAACTCAACCAGCCACCCTTTACACAAACCTTGTTACAGTAGATAAAAGTCCAATGCCCATAAAGATACTAAATGATTAGTAATCGTTTATAAACATTTACAAATGATGAATAGTTTCAACTTTAGTTTGGCTACTGCAAAACCATGAACAAATAATTGTTAAGATGTATAAACAGAGGTCTATACAACAAACAAAGACCAACAAATGAAGAATGTTTACTGACATTTGTAAGCATTTCAATTTACAGTAAATAATCATTTGTTAATCATTAGATAATGTTTAGTAAGTTCATTAGTAAACATTAACAAGAATCTCATATTTCCAGCTATGTGAATATATATTAACGAATGATCTGTTAAGAATGATATAATGTTTGTTAAGGATTTATAAATGAAAGGTATTATAACGTATTACCTTTAATTTATTGTAAAAGTTTAACGTGTGATTCCATTTGTGATGTTTGGTGAAGTGAGAACCTCGAGATGCCATCTTCACTAATGAGAGATTTTTAGATAATTTTGAGGTTAAGACCTCCTACATAAACAGGAACTTCTCTGTATATAAAGCAATCTTGATGCCCTTCACTGCCTCAGACGTCAACTTTCTTGCTATTATGTAGTATTTCTCTAATGCTTCCGAATAAATTTGGTGAGTTGCTATGTGTCTTCTTTCAAATTTGAGCGTAAATACAGAAATGTATGATACATACTTGATTTTTAAGCATCTTGGGTGTTTTGACTTTGACTTTGACTTTGACTTTTTATTACAAACAAATGTTCAGAATGAGCACCAGATTTTTAATCACTTGGATTTAAATGAATGGAACCCGAGTGGCTTTCAAACTGAAGGTATTTCTTTATCACTTTAAGATTAATCGCTTGTGTTCCTCATTCGTTAGTCGCCTTTAACGTCTGCTAAATGAATCAATTGTTGCATTTATGCTGAACACTTAATATGAGTCACTTCTTGTCAGTTGCATGTGCTGACTTGTGTGAGTTCTGGCTAAGTTGAAATCTGGAAGAGCGTGTTCACTGAGTCCTGTACAGGAATGATGAACCGCACTGGGATTTTCTGCATTTTCTTGGCTTTTTCAGTGCAGCTTAAAGCGACTTTACAGGGTAAAACATGTTTCTTAAATCTGCAGTTTCAGTCACAATGGATTTTGCATGTACTTCCAAAAATGTATGACCATTTCGCTATTTCATTTCTGACAAAAGGGCACATCTGTGTGACAGATTACTGCCATACCATCAGCTGCTCTTTAAAACTACCAGTCACATCCACTAGAAACATATCATACCGCCTGGAAGCTTTTACCGACAATGACCAGTAAGTATGCTCCAGTTATTCATTGCCATTGTCTGTTTAGTAATTCATACACTGTTTTTCAGTTTTCATATGCAAATGGTAGTATGCATTACCAGTACAGTGCAAGATTTTCCCAAACATGAATTTTCACACACAGGAAATATGGCTGCCAACTGCAGAGAGTACATGAAGATCACATCTGCAATTTAACAGTATCAGGCTTCATGGATATTGATGAATATTCACTTTATTATTTGGAAAATGGAACTGACAATTCAACTCTGTTGGATGCTTGTTTTGAGCCAGCAAAACATAGTGAGTCGATTTTTATGTAATCAAAGAAAACAGTGATTTACACAGTTTATATTTCACATACATGAAGCTTCTTTCTTTTCTCAGTTAAACCAAAAACTCCATTTAATCTGACGTTACAATATGCAAATGGAACGTATCGTTTCTTTTGGAAGAACGGATATGAAAATCATATTTACAAAGGAGTTCTACCCATCTTGTACGAATTCAAGTACTACAAAGATGGAAATCATGCAAGTGTAAGATTGATTATACTGATAATTCAATTATGAATGTCCACCAATCATAGGGCATGTTCTCAGAGAACATCCTCTGTTTCACCCACATCAAAGAAACATATATATAACACCATCTATCTGTGTATTCCTGTTTTGAAAATGAATGTCTTCTATGAATGGCTTAACATTAATGTTATTTTTTAAGGCGGTCAGTGTTCAAGCAGGCAAAGATATGATTCAGATTGATGAAATGAAGCTTGATCCGGGCACTACATACACTGTGATGGTGAAGACTAGGATAGAGGATGGAAATGTCTACAGGGGGATGTGGAGTGACTGGAGCAGTGCAGTGGAATGGAAAACAGAATACAGAGGTGAATACTGTGGTAGCTCCTGCTTTACATTTCCACACTCATTTTTAATCGATCTGTTAATGTAAAATCAAAGTCAATCCATCCATGTTTTCTGTGTTGATTATTTAAATCTCTAGATGAGCCCAATCAAGTCAGCAAGATTGCCATTGGAATGTTTTCAATGGTTGGACTTTTAATTCTGCTTATGTCCATTCCTGCTGCAAGGTAATTGTTTATCATACACCTGCTATTGCAGTATATTTATTGCGCAAGTATGCAGTACATGGGAAAAATATACAGAGCTAGTGAGCAACTCAGGTGTCACAGGAAAGATGACTGGAAATAATATGCGACATTTATGCATTACAGATTTAAAATGAAAGAAATTTCATGGGTGCCAACACCAGCACCGTACTTCCAGCCACTTTATCAAAATCACCAAGGCAATTTTCAGGTAATATTTCACACTTCAAATAGACTAGGGTTTCATAGCCGAGGATTTGAACCCTTTGGGGTTTCATGAAATGACTAGAAAGGGCTTGTGAGACAGTGGGTACTTTATATGTTATATGTTATAATTATATGTTTCAGGGTCGCATGATCCTTCCGAGATCATTCTAATATGCTGATTTGTTGCTCAGTTATTATTATAAGTCATTATCGGTGCTCAATTATTAATGGTTGTTATTATTATTAATAAACAGCTGCTTAATGTTTTTCTAGAAACCATGTTACATTTTCCCCCCCATGATTCTTTGATTCTTTGTTGAATGGGGGAAAAAAACAGCATTTGTTTGAAATAGAAATTATAAATGTCTTTACTAGCACTTTTAATCCATTTAATTCATCCTTGGTGAATAAAAGTGTTCATTTATTTTAAAAACTCGCTTACAAAAAATATTAAGCAGCACAACTGTTTTCAACATTAATAATAAGAAGAAATATTTATTGAGAAGCAAATCAGCATTTTAGAATGGTTTCTGAAGGATCATGTGACACTGAAGACTGGAGTTATGATGCTGAAAATGTAGCTTTGCATCACAGGAATAAATTACATTTTATTCTTATAGAAAATAACTGTTTAAATTGTAATAATATATAATGTGATTGTGTAAGATATGTCCATTTATTCATAATCTGTTAATGTTTGTCCTCCTTTTTTTCATTAGTGTTGGGTTTTGGCAAAAAGTCCTTTACAAGATTTTCACGTTATAGAAGACTTTTCAAAAATTGACAAGATTTCCGAGGTCATAACCACACTACAGGATCAGGTTGAGAAAACAGGCATGTATCCCACAGCACAATGCCACACACCCTATGTGGGCCCCACAACTGAGGTCTGGGCCCCGTGCCAAATGCCTGATACACGTAGCGAGACGAGCATCTTGTTTGAGGATTTTTCTTTGTTCTGCGAAGAGTTGCCTGATAAAGTGGGCAACCTCATGCAGTCTCTGAACGTGGCGTGTCTGAGTGGGGATGTTCTGTCTCTGAAGGACTCGGCTCTTAGTCTCGAGGGTCTTGAGGACTGCAAGGCTTTCGAAGCACCGGTTATCATTAACCCAGTGCCTGTCTGTTTCAGACAAGACTACTGCACTCTCACCAACACTCCCACAGGGCCTGTTCCCACCTTTACCAGAGATGTAGAGCAGGACGAAAACACCTCTAATGATTAAATGCAGGAAGGCATTACACAACGGACATCTGCAGATATGTGGGCATTCTCAATTGATATCTAATGCTGATCATAGAGGCCTTTCCAAAAAAAGTAATCTAGACATTCTTATTCCTTGATGAAAACAAGCTGTCCGGTGGTAAAGTATAGCTATGATATTCCCTCTATTATGGCTTACATTTCAAGTGAGGTTTGAGTTTTTGTGTGCAGTGATTATATTCTGTGTTTTTCTTTCATTCATTAAGCAATATTAGTGTTGAATATATTTCCATTTGTGATATTTGTACTGAGAAGATTTCATGTGTTTAAGACTGTTGAAGCCAAACCTGAACTGACTGCAATTTCTCCTAGAAGAATAGATAGAAATTTAGCAGTTCACAAGTACTGTATTTGTTTTTTTTTTAAATATGTGTGAAATTGAAACTATAAACATACACCGCTTTATATAGAACATTTAGTAATAATAAAAGATTCCATCTGAAGAGTTACACACTTCCACATGCATTAATATCAAGAAAAAAAGTGTGTGGCGGGAGCTTCATGGAATGAGTTTCCATGGCTGAATAGCTACATGCAAGTCTCACATTATCAAGTGTGTGTTCTGCTGAATGATGAATCACGGTTCTCTGTTTGGCAGTCTGATGAGTGAGTCTGGCAGATGCCAGGAGATCGTTACCTGCCTGACTGCATTGTGCAACCTGTAGAGTTTTGTGGAGGAGGGATAGTGGTATGGGGCTGTTTTTCAGGGGTTGGGCTATGCTTACTTCCAGTGAAGGGAAATCTTAATGCTTGAGCAATTAGGATTAAAATTAAAAACTTCGGGGAATAATTTGGGGAAGGCCCTTTTCTGCATCTGTGCCCGAGTGCACAAGGCAAGGTCCATAATGGTTGGATATGTTTGAACATTTTTGGGATGAACTGGAATGGAGATCGTGAGCTAGGCCTTCTCATCCAGAATCAGTGCCCAATCTCACAAATTCTCTACTGGATGAGTGGACAAAAATTCACACAGAAACACTCCAAAATCTTGTGGAAAGCCTTTCGAAGAGTGAAATCTGTTATAGCTGCAAAGGGGGGACAAACTCCATTTTAATGTCTTTGTATTTAGAATGCGATGTCATAAAAGTCCCTGCTGGTGTAATGATCAGGTGTCCCAAGACTTTTGTCCATATAGTGTACATTTAATAATACACTACATTCAATACACTAAACACTTTTAAATAAGAAAGTAACTGCAAGTGAACATTACCAGGGTAAACTTCTAGGTAAATGTAGGAGAACAGATAGATAGATAGATAGATAGATAGATAGATAGATAGATAGATAGATATAGAAATAAATAAATAAATAAATAATTAGACAGACAAACATAAATAAATAACAGGATAAACTTCTATAGTGGTATTATAAGAGAGTGTAGACAATAAATAAATAAATAGACAGACAGACAGACAGACAAACATAAATAAATAACAGGATAAACGTCTATAGTGGTATATTATGGAGGACGAAACCTGCAAAAACAATAAATAAATAAATACACAAATAAATACAAAAATGTGTGCATAAATACACGTATTCTTGTTTAAATACATAAATAAATAATTAAACATGATGAAAGTAGGCAAATAAATAAAATAAATTGGTGGGCAAATGGAAAATATTTAAGGAAATGTTAAACTCGTCCTAACTATTTTCCTTTGATCGCTCATTTATTTCTAAATGTAGTTCCACATTTTTCCCCCCTCTGCGCAACATGCTAATGAGAGGGTGTTAATTATGCAAGAGTAGGCGGATCGTGTGTGACGCGCTTGAGCGTTTGCCTGCGCATGTGTATTAACTTCATCAGTCAAGGGGACTGATTATTAACTTACACTTTTTCATAGGGTTAGTTTTGTAGTTATTATCATGAGCGAGCTAAATCATAAAAGTGATGTATATGAGCCTCTGTTTGTACAATAATAAATTGAAAATCAACTGAGATGTTGTGCATGTCATTAATTTGGTTCTCCCGCCGTAAAGAGAGAGAGATTGCTGCAGATCGACTTGGTTGTAGAAGACCGTTTACTGACCATAAAAATAATCTTACACACCTAAACAACGAGCAGGTAAAACCATCCTAATAAACACTAGCTGCCATCAAAAGAACGAGCCCCTATTCCACGGATAAAATGAATAATCTCACGATGACCATGGGATACTGATATTACAGTTGTCTCTAGTTGGAGACTCAATCAGGTTACAAAAAATGACGTCAGGAAATAACACCTCTGGCCATTTCGTTGGGTCGTTTGTAAAGTCACAGATACTGTACGGACAATACAGCTCAGTTTTTTATGTATCTTGCTCTGTTGAACGGAAAAAGTGACTTTACGTAGGCCATACTGGATTGCATTTCCTGTCAGCGGGAAAGGATTGTTTCCCCATGCCGCGCCCCCATCTATGACATGACCCCGACCAAGTCCATGGTTGACACCCTCTCATTAGCATGTTGTGCAGAGGAAAAATAAATGTGGAACTACATTCAGAAATAAATGAGTGATCAAAGGAAAATAAATAGGATGAGTTTAGCATTTCCTTAAAAATGTTCCATTTGCCCACCAATTTATTTGCCTACTTTAATCACGTTTAATTATTTCTATATGTATTTAAACAAGAATACGTGT